ACACACTTAAAAAGGTGAATTCCATGTAAATGATATACATATAAATATATATAAGTAAATTATAACTCAGTAATGCTGGTTGTTTTTGTAAAGAGTGGATCATGTTCATTTTTAAGATTTTAATTATTTCTCTTTAGATTCTCATTGTTGTGAAATGAAGACACCCAGTGAAATGCTTTCGCACTTTCTGAAATGTGTTGGATTCTCCTGGCTCTTGTGAATGTTTCAGAGTTCCTCATTCAATAGGGGAGGCTTGGGGTTTTCAGGACAGCCCTGAAAACGAATAGCCTGCAGGCATCGGCTGGGGATACAACATCTGAAAACAATAGAAAGTCCAGTCAGTAAATGCAAATCAATAACCCTGGCTGATGACTCCACATGAGCAAAAAGAGATTTGTACGATGGAGTGTCTTCACTTTAGCCATTAAACTTCTCATTCGCCAGTTCTTCATTAAATGCCTGTCTTAAACCGGGCAATTGAATCTAAGATATCAGACATGTTTGAATTATGGAGATCAACTGCTTCATTGTTGGCCTTGGGCACAGGATAAAAGGAATGGAATTTAATATCCCCCCAGAAAATGATGTAAGGAGAGGTAATTGGCAGCACCTGGAAGATACTATCACAGAACTGTCATAGATGTGGTTATGGAAACACAAGTACATTCAAGAAGACACACCGAGTCCCACTGAGTTAAAAATGCAAGGTACCTCACTCAAGCATCATATTTAGGAACTGTGTGTGTGTGTGTGTGTGTGTGTGTGTGTGTGTGTGAATTCTCTGGCCTTAGTTTTTGAAAATGGGAATTGCTTGGCAGGCGGTTGTAAGACTATTTTGTTCCATCATAAATGAATACAAAATGCAGGGACTTGCATTTGACAGTTTGTTTACTTTGTAAAGATCTTACTGTGGAGATGTAATCTGAGCTTTCTCACCCCCTCCCCCAGGCAGATAGGCGCATCTGGGCTGATCCTTTAACTCTCATCAGATGTCTTTGATTGGCAATAAATGAACTTAGAAGTCAACAAGAATAGAAGGGATCTCAAAGTTGCTGTCCAAACAACAAACAAAAACAACAACTCTTTTTCTCAGTGTGTCATTCAAGGATTATTGGTGTCAGTATCACCTTGTGGAGGACAGAGAGAGAGGGATTTGTTACTAAAAAGTTAGGAACTTGAGTGACTATAGGATACCATGCTCTGTTGCTGGGGAAGGAGTAAAATAGACAAAGATCCATGCTTTATGGAGTATTTGTTCTACTTCATGGTTCTCCAAGTGGGGCCTTGGACTAACAGCATCTCCTTTCCTTGAGTACTTGGTAAACATGTAAATTTTCAGGCTCCACAGTGGACCAGCCTAACAAAGCAGAAACTTTGGGGGTGCAGTCTGACAGTGCACATTTGAAGAAGTCCTCTAGGTGGTACTGTCTGAGGGTGTTTGAGAAGCATTCTTCTAGGGCAGAATTTTTCAACCCCATCGCTATTGACATTTCGGGTGATAATTCTTTGTTGTGGGGAGTTGTCCTATGCAATGTAGGATCTTTAGCAGCATCCATAGCCTCTACTCATGGAGATGCCAAGTCGCTTCCTAACCCCAGTTCTGACAGTAAAAAATGTCTTCAGCTGTTGTGAACTGTTCCCTGGAGGTGAGAGGATGTAGGGGGAGAATCTTCCCAGATGAGAATGCATGCCCTAGGGCAAAGCTTTTCTAAATGGTCTGCTGATCAGTGATATTAGCATTATTTTAATCAAATCTCTGGGGCGGGGAGAGGGATGAGGAATCTGTGTTTTAACAAGTCCTGGGGATTCTGAAAGTGCTAAGGTTTGAGAGCCACCATCCTAGCAATAGAGACAGGCAAGAAACTATTCAATGTAGACATACACATACTAGTACATCACTCAGAGTGACTAGTGTGCTACACATAAGATTTGTAAGATGGAGCATTTTCACTTTATCCATTAAATTTCCACTTGGGAAGAATAGGGAAGGCAGAAGGAGGATAGTGTGTTCTGGAGAGAGGCGAGTAGTACATTTTTAATAGTATGGTCATGGAAGGTCTCACTGAGGAGGTGATAACTGATCAAAGACTGAAGGAGAGAGTTAAGAGATAACAACGAATGTTTCAGACATAGAGAAGAGAAAAAGCAAAGATCCAGGGGCAGGTATATATCTCCTAGGTTCAAAGGACAACAAGTAACCCAGGGTGACAGAATGTAGGGGTTTAGGAGAAAAATAGTTGGAAAAGAGGTGAGAACAATAATGAATAAATGAGTGAGTAAACGAATGTAATTACCTGTTTTTGAACTTGACTTCTGTTTGTACTGGCTATGTGTCTTTGAGTATATTCTGTGGTATTGTCGGACCTCACTTTCTCTTCTGTAAAGCAGATTAATGCCTATCTCTATAGGTCAGTTCTGAGAAATAAAGTGCTTGAGTGATGGTAAACTTTTGAGAGGGAATAGTATAATTTATATATTTTTGAACTGTCAATGCTTAGCATATTACATTGCTCATAGTATATGATTAATAAATATTATATGCATTATAAACAAAACAAAACCCCTCAAAATTTAGACCTACCATATCACAATTTCTGTGATAAGAGATTGTTAATCTGGATTTATAACAAGTTTCCCCAAGTAATTCTTGAATATGAACACTATTTTGAGAAATTTCATTCTGCTCATATATTTGTATGCTGGTCTCCATTTATTTTTGAAATGTCATAGAAATGAAATTTTCCAGGTATGAAAATTAACACATGAGGGCTCAAGGCGTTCTCAAGGAGAGGCCAAGTTTAGACCTATCATGGAGATTACACTGAGGGGTTCTTAACTCTGTGGTTAGGCTTTCTGGATTGAACATTCAGGAGACTAGTCAGAGGGAACTAATTCCTTTTTGGTTTGCTCAAGCCAATCAATAATATTAAGACATAGAAACACTTCACTCTGATCCATTGTGTAATGAAAGTAACTCTAAGGTTCATAAGGTATTATGTGCACCATAATGTCCCTGAGGTTGGTTAAAGTCATCAAGGCAAAAGATTCCTTGTACCCAATTATTTATGTTTTTGTTCATTTTTACATTGCACTCAATTCATATCTCCCTGATGAGTTACTTGTCTGTGGCATTATGCTTTGATAATTTAATATGATAACTTTTGAAATTTAGTATTTTCTTTCCACCTAAATGCTTGGTGTTGGGCCATTTTCAGCTATTAAAAATAAACTACTTCTCAACATGTTTTACTCTTTAGTTACTTTGCTCAACCTTAATTTGCCGCCAGGAACCTCAAAGATTAAATTTTACCAAGTCTTAAAACTGCAATGATTTGAACTGCTAGGTTTTTCTACCTTAATCTCCCTCCTGTGAATTCAAGAGGTCAGACATGGCCACGAAGTTTCAATCGCACAGTATGTGAGCGCCCACCCACACGTGGTATTTTGTGGAAGAGCCACACTCAAGGGGCCGCAGTTTGCCGACCACTGCCCTAACCGGTTTGGCTCAGTGGATAGAGTGTTGGCCTGTGGACTGGAGGGTCCCAGGTTCCATTCCGGTCAAGGACATGTACCTTGGTTGTGGGCACATATCCAGTAGGGAGTGTGCAGGAGGCAGCTGATCGATGTTTCTAACTCTCCATCCCTCTCCCTTCCTCTCTGTAAAAAATCAATAAAATATATTTTTTAAAAAAATAGGAAATTCTTACCTTCTAAATGGTCTTTTACTCAGAGAATATAATTCCTTTTTCTTAATTTCTGGCAGGGAAGCTAAATAACTTATCTCCAAGTGTCTCTTAAATTGAGGTTTAATGATCACAAGTGAATATTCCTGAATTGATTGCAGATTAGACCAAAGAGAAGCAAGTAGGGTTCCCCAATTTGACAATAAAAATACAGAATTGAATTTGAAATTCAGATAAACAACAAACATCTATTTAGCATAATTATGTCCAAAATAAATAGTGTATATATACTAAAAATGTATTTGTTGATTATCTGACATTCAAATTTATCTGAGCATCCTGTATTTTTTTCTGACAATCCTAAGAGCAACTTTAATTCAAAATGCTTCTTGGTGGATATAGTGGGGGGAAAGTTTGGTGACTATGTAGTATCTAATCCTGGAAGCTAAAAGTTCTTAAAAACCGTGAAACAAACCAAAATCCCTTTAATCCTCAATTCTGCAATCTGTAAAATGTGAGGTGTGCTATCTAAGTGTTGCATGGGCCTGCACTGTGAGGTAAGCAAGAGTATAATAGACCAGCTATGATACAAAATGAACTGCCACATCCAATATTTTTAACTTCCTTAAATTGCCTCTGTATATATCTTAGTGATCAGTGTAACTAACTTATAATACCTAGACTGTATAAGAGAACAAAGCTGTTTGGGTGTTTTCAATTCCACTCTTGGCCATCATCATGAACTGTCAAGTATAACTCAGCAACTAAATAATGAAAAGGCATTTTCTCTACAGCTTTGGTGAATTTTCACTTCTCTCTCTCTCTCTCTCTCTCTCTCTCTCTCTCTCTCTCTCTCTCTCTCTCTCTCTCTCCTTTTTTTCTTTCCATCTTCATGGATCTGAATTTTAGCAGAAGTTGAATCTGCTTTCAATTTGCTATGTAGTCACAGATCCGTGCTCGTGGTAGATGCACCAGTATGATTAATGGCCATCACCTTTGTGAGTTCTTTTGCATAGTAAAGTGGCAGTGCTCACACCTGAGCCCAGTGAGTATAAAGCTCAGCACAAACAGGCTTCACGCCCTCACTTGGTTTCCTCCCTCCGGGCGATCACAACTTCAGTGGAGATGTTCCAGGTTGGTTCCAGATTTAGCAAAGGAGCTTGGTGGTTCTTCATAGTGAGAAGAATAAACATGTCATATCATGGAAAGGAGGTATTGTGAGGCCAGGGAAATACTCTAAATAATAATAAAAAATTTAAATTTATTTTTCTGCATTGTGCTATTTAAGACTGATAAATGCAGGCCATTTCTCTTGCAGGATCCTGACCATCACCATAAAGAGACTGTCACCCAACCTTCTCATCTAGAGACTTGTTCTCAGGACCTACAGACAGGAGGTAAGTTCAAATCTACTCTCTTTTAGCTCCTCATCCTCTTATCAGTAGTTATGTTGAGCATTTCCCTTTGTAAACTGGCCTTACCTGGGTTTGGGAATATGTATTCTTGTTGTCTTAACCATAACAATAGTTTCTTGCCCAGGAAGAGCTCAGAGAAAAGAATTGGTGTTGCTGCCCTGTTTTATATTGAAGTATCTCCTGAAACACGTGGGTTCTGTGGGTTGGACAGTTTGCCTCTGGGGGGGAACGTGAGTTGCTACGGATAAAGTGAGGATGGATACCGGGTGGTGGAAAATTGTCTTAAAGCCTCATGGTGTAAGAAAAGCTCAGTCTGTACTTCATCTTGTACAGTATTAATGAATTCACATTAGAATGACCTCAGGTGTGCTGTTATTGTACTCACCTGGAGGTTAAACAGAACGCTCTAAGGCAGCTCCCTCACCTGAGAGGATGTTGGTCTCAAGCCGCTGTATTCTGGCAATTCTAAGTGGGATTTAGAATTCTAAATCTTTCTGGTTCAGCATGTCCTACACAATCCTAAATTCAGCTAACATCAGTGTGCTTTGCTAAATCATGAAGGTTTCTCAGGGTGAAATATGCAAAGATATTAAAATCTAAAACATGTGCTTTATATGCTGTGTTGGGAGTGGCGGATTTAGGAGTTTCGATCAGATGTGTGCAAACTTTTCTGTAAAGGACCAGAATGTAAATATTGTAGGCCATACAGCTTCTGTCACAATTATTCAATTCTGCCATTGAAGTAAAGCAGCCCTTGACAATAGGTAACGGAGAGAGTATGATGTGTCCACTAATGCTTTATTTATGGACACTGAAATCTGAAGGCTACATTTTCAGGTGTCATGAATTTATTTTTCCCCAGCTAAAGTCTGGGAACTTTTTTTAAAGTGCTGGATTTGTCCTGCAGGCTGTAGTTTGCTAGCATCTGAATTAGATCAATACAACTAGGCAAGTTGTCCTACAGATCTCTGCTTAACTTGTACGCCTTAACATTGCAGAAACTTAATAGCCTAATACTCCAGTAATGGTTTCCCAAAGAGAACTGGGCCCAAGTCAAGAGAGTTGGTGTCTCAAAGGCTCAGAGAACATATCTTCACCTGTGCATTATGGGAGAAGGAAGGGGTGTCAAATATGAAATACATGGGGGAATTTTGGGTGTTGATGCTATGAGATCTTCAAACACACCTCTTGCATCCTACCCATTCCTTACATTGTACCCATTCCACCTTCCCAGACAGTGGCCTTTCACCTGCTTCCATCCTCTCTTAGCCTTCTTTTAGCTTTTTAACTAGTTAGCAGGACTTGAGGGAGTTGGAGGCTTGGTGGCTGCGTTTGAACAGGTCATATGGCAAAAGGTTTCTTTATATTTTATTTATTGCTTTGCTGTGATTAAAAGGTTTTGTTTCAAACACTTGGATTATTTGAATATAGGTATACATCAGTGTAGGCATGTCCAAGTACAAGAAGTTGTGGCTTGAAGATGGTTGTCAACTGAACATTTAAAAATGTAAGTGAATGTGTCAAAATTAGCACTACTACACAACTTCAAAAATATGGCTGAGGATAAGAGAAAAAAAATAAGAACTGTTTCTGGTGGCTTACATTGTCCATAGGGTTGGGGATTTTGTGCATATGATTTTTTTTTGCACTCTTGTTATAGATTTGTATTATCTATTAATAGGATTCCATCAGTCATCAAGTGTTTATTGAGTGATACTAAAGACTGAAGTGATTAAAAAGTATAAGGTAGAAAATTACATCTGTAAGGCTTTTCATCTTTCACATGATGAAATGACTGTCCAAAGAGATCAGATGCATTGTCCAAGATTACCCAGCTAGGAAGTACTGAACTTGAAATAGAAAGCAGAGCTTCTTTTTGCATTATATTGTGCTATAACTGCATTACATGCTCTTGAGCAACTTAACTCTCAAACCAAATGTAATTGTGAATTAAATCATAGAATATTGATACAAAGGGTGATCATTCATCTATATACACACTCATGAAGACTAGAGTTACTGGAGAAAAATATTGGACTGCAGTGAAATTGAGGCAAATTTTGAAGTGCAGAGGGATTGGGTGGGAACAGAATAATCACAGTGGAAGGAAGGACTTGGGGAAAGGTATAAAGGCAGGGTAGCCGGAAAGGAGAGCCTGGTGAACATGGAGGGGGCCTGGCGAGGAATAAGGAGAGAGGAGGCTGATTGATGGGGTGATGGCAGCCACACATTGTCTGAATCAGGGGCCCCTTTTGGGAGACAACTCATCGAACTGGGGCTGCAAATGAATGGCTTATAAAGAGAACCTTCCTAACCGAGCTTTACAAGGGTCCCACTCAAGATTTTGGTCATTTAACTTCATGGATGAAACGACCAAGGGAGCTAACCAGCCACAGATGTTTTGTTTATAACCAGAGGAGTTCCTGTGAGCTTGGCGATGACATTTCCCTGTCTATAAAATGCTGAGAGTTAAACAGTGATACCGTGTGAAGCACTTGGAAATCTCTATCTTGAGAGGCAGTTCTTAAGTGTAATGGTTTAATGGTCATTTAGCATGATGGGCCTTCCGAGGGTAATATCATTTGCCTGCCAGTTAAAATGAACACTTCTCCGTGGGAAGTCAAAGATCATGTCAGCGTAACTTGGGTTAGGTGAAAGAGAGCATCAAGAAGCGAATGCCAAAATAGAGAATAGGGAATAAAATCTCGTGTACATCTAGCCTGTTCATAAATCCAGTATAATTAGAGAACACCATCAGTTTCCACTAATTGGCGGGAGGGGGCGGGGATATACTCTGATTTAGTGAAAAGTTTGACTTAATTTTTAAAAACTGCTTTATTATTTTCTCCACTTTTCTCATGTCCCAAACATTAAACCTTTCTTTTTTTAATAAAATATATTTTATTGATTTTTTACAGAGAGGAAGGGAGAGAGATAGAGAGTTAGAAACATCAATGAGAGAGAAACATCGATCAGCTGCCTCCTGCACACCTCCCACTGGGGATGTGCCCGCAACCAAGGAACATGCCCTTGACCAGAATCCAACCTGGGACCTCTCAGTCCGCAGGCCGACGCTCTATCCACTGAGCCAAACCGGTTTCGGCAAACATCAAACCTTTCTAATCTTATTTGATAGTCTGACCCCTTACTTTATTGATAAAACTGAAGTTACCAAAAAATAAAGAAGCTGAACTTCTTGCTCACCCTGAAAATTCCGTCTCCCCTCTTCCTGCTGACATGTGGGGAAGGGACGGGCCTCTGCAATGCTTAGGGCTAGTCCCACACCCTATGCTCTTGGCGCCACCCTTTCCCAATTCCTCAGGGACCTCAACCCTTCAAGTTCTCCCTCTATCCTCCGACTCTTTTCAATCTGTCTCTGCTTCTGGATTTTATTTTTTTCTTACTTAGAAAAGTAGCAGCATTTTATTAACTTCTCCCCTCTCCTCCTTTGACTGCTGTCATATTAAAGGTATTCATTTCACCCCCACACTTAGCTGTGAGCATACACACAGTCACCAGCAATGTCCTGGCTGCAGGCAGGGTGCCACTACTTAATCCTTTTAACTACTTATAATACTTGTAATACTGACCACAGCCACATTCTCTCCTCCATCAGAGAAAAAGGATAAAGAAGATGAATCACTCATAAAACATTTCAGCTTTCTTTGAAATGTACACATACATATTAATGTATTCCTCTTCTAAATTAGAATCATTCTGTAAGTTGACAGTTCTCTACACAAGAACATTTTTCTGTCATTAAATATTCTTTGAAATTGTGACTTTAAAAAAAAAGTCTGCATATAGTCCATTATGTAGATGTACGGTAGCATATAAGAACCATTTCTTTTTATAGACATTAAACTATTTCTAGTTGTTGTATTGAATAAGCAAACAACAAATATAACCATATTTGTGTTCATACTGATTATTCCTTTAGGATGGCTTCCTAGAAATGGAAACTCTAGATCACCAAGTCAAAAAGCAAACTTTATTCATATGGACAAAATACTTTCCAGATAAGACAGACATATTTACATTATCAGAGTTAACCTAATGAAAGAAATTCATTTTACTGCTCCAGTATAACATCTTCTAATTTTTAAAAATCTCTTTTGGTAAGCCATTTTTTGGCCTATTGCTGTGAAGTACTTTGTCATTTGTGTCTACGTCTGGTTACTCTATTTGATTCCATAAGTGCATATGTTGATCCACTAATTACTAAAACTTTATAATAAGCTTTAATAATTAGTCCCTTTCCTTACTCTTTTTGTTGTTTTCAGCACTCTCCTGGCTGTTCACACCTGTCTATTATTTTTTCTCATTTGGAAATTGGAATCAAATTTGAATTATAATTATAGTTCAGGGAGAATTGTCATCATTGCAGTATTAAATTTCCAACCTGGAATAAATTTGTCTTTTTATTCATCTCATTGGCTGCCCACCTATTTATTTTTTTCTTTGAATCTGGTGACTTTACAAAGATATGCTCTAGTGTTGATTATGTATTCTGTATTTTTCCACTAATCCCCATCCCCTGCGAACATCCACTATACACTTTTCATTTGTTGGTTCAGGCCTCCTTTTATTTCAGAAAAAAAAATTATTTGAATATTTGTTTCAGTATTTCATTTTATTAAGGATATAATGTATGCTTTTCTTGTATAACCTTGATCTGACTTAGGCATCAGTAATCTTTTTCTCCATTTGAACATCTTAATTTCATTTTGCTCTGTTTTTCAAGTTACTGACCGTTTTTTTTACCATGCTTGTCTGGTTGATTTACTGTGATTTCATTTCTGTAATAGTTTTATTTTACATTGCCATTCTTTTTTGAGCTAGGCTAGCTAAATTTTCATCTTTCTGATTCCTTTAAAATCTTGCATCCCTTCTTTGTAATCTTTCTTCATAGGGGTCATTTGTTCTTTAATTGCTTTGAAATAATGAAGAGTTTTATCTAAGATTTTCATTCTGCTTTGTAG